TTCTTAACATTTAAAGAAGAAAAAACGCTTACATCCAGTTTTGTGAACAGTTACAGGGCTGTAACGGTTATGATCAATTGACTGCCCCTTTAAAGATGCACTGAAAATGGTTATTTACTTGTATGACTTATAAAATAACACCCACGGAGGCTAAAGCACATATTTTATGCTAAATAATATATATATTTTTAAATAGGATTACAATTTTCTTCTGTTTGTATCATCCTTTTGAAGCCTCTCTGCAAGAAGACCTACACAGATCTTCTAACACCCAATGAATCCAACACACCCCACTGTGTGAGGCGGTACATAGTGGAACATACCACACAATCCTCTTTTATTATGGTTGTAGACTATAGGTTTAGTAATCATAGTTTTCATATAGTTACTTCATACTGTATACGGTCACTTTACACTATTTTCATTGCCTTCTTGGGACAACGGGAATTATGGAGAATATCTGCTGTGGACAACTGTGCATGATAATATCCTTTGTTATGCTAGATCTGCTTTTCCATTAAAGAATATCTTGTTCTATGGGCATATTTGACAATGACAGCGCCCGGCTGCAGCCACTATAGAAACGCTGGTTGGTATATATCGCTTTATTGGTTCCAGTAGATTTGTGTGCTGGACATATTCCTTGATTAGTTCACCAATGTTTATCTAGCCTCTAATAATGAGTGTTTGGACACAAAAAGAGTTAATAATGTAATAGAACAGGCAATGTGGGACATTGGGGAGACATTGGGTAATAGGGGACATTGAGAGACATTGGGACACTGAGAGACCTGGGGACACTAAGACTCTTGAGGAAACTGGGAGACATGGGGACACTGGGCAACTTTGAGACATGAGAGGACACTGGGAGACATGGGGCACTGAGGCACTGTGATACATAGGGGACACTGATATATAGGGGACACTGGAGACTTGATAAAGACCTGGGTACAGGTCAAAATGTTGCGGTGTCCAATAAACCTGCTTAAATCTATCACAGTGAGTGCCTGAGATTTTTTTCTTTTATACTAGGGGACACTGAGACACTTGGGGGCGCTGTGAGACATGGGGACACTGGGAGACTAGGGGACACTGAGACACTAAGGACACTGAAACACACCATGGATACTGGGAGACATGGGGCACTGAGACACTCTGATACACAGGGGACACTGTGATACATAGGGCACACTGGAGACTTGATAAAGACCTGGTTACAGGTTGAAACATTGCGGTGTCCAATAAATCTGCTTAAATCTATCACAGCGTAATAATAACTACCTATTTCCAGGGCTAAAAGACTCTGAATGTCGGTGTTAGCTGGAAAGGAACACAAGATGAGGAAATGTATGCTCTTTGATTGAACGCTGCACACCACTTATTTTAATGGTCAGATAGCAAATCCAAAGCCAACTGGCTATACCTCTACCTACTCAGAAAAATAGATGATATATGCAGAAATAGATAAAGAATATAAAGTCGTCCAATTGTCCTAATCTCTGACTTTATTGAGTGAGGTCTCTATCAGGAGTTGGATTTTCTTATATCACACTGAGTAGGTGTCCAGGATACAGGGAGCAGATGGCTGATGTCATTGATTCTACAATATGGTAATATAGAACTAGTAGAAGGTTGTTTGTAATTACAAATTGTTGCAATCTCTCTTCTCCTAATTTTGGTCAATATAGGAGACAGTTTGAGTGAAGAAACTGAGCCAGATAGCTGTCAGGTTAGGGCTTCTGTATTAGCACAGTGTTGCAATATTGTTGCAAAACGGAGAGAGCATAAAGAGGATACTAATTAGCTACAGTTGCTTTAACCCTCAGTTGTATGGGGTTGGTAACTTGTTTCAGATTACAGCCCCCATCTAATGCCTGTCTTGAATAAACTTGAAGAATTAAAAAATAAGTGAAAAATCTCGAAATTATTAAGTAATTATTAACTCATAAGGTATTCACAGGCAGAATAGAGACAGGAGTAGAAATATAACAACTTCTCTCTGATTGCTCACTAGACTTAAAGCTATCACAGTGAGTGTCTGAGATTTTTTTTTATACTAGGTGACACTAGGAGACATGGGGACACTAGGGGACATTGGGACACTGAGCCACTGGGAGACTAGGGGACTTTTGGAGACTAGGAAACACTGAGACACTGCGGACACTGGCACACTGCGGACACTGAGAAACACCAGGGACATGGAGACAAGGGGATACTGAGATACTAGGGACACTGGCTGGAAGACATGGGACACTGGGAGTGCCCCATGTCTCAAAGTCGCCCAGTGTCCTCATGTCTCTCAGTGCCCCCTAGTGTCTCAGTGTCCCCATGTCACCCAGTGTCCCCTAGTATTTGTATCCCCATGTCTCCCAGTGTCCCTTAGAGTCTGTGTCCCTATGTCTCCCAGTGCCCCGATGGACACTAGGGGACACTTAGAGACATTGGGACACTGGGAGACATGGGGACACTGAGAGACATGGGGACACTGAGAGACACATGGGGACACAGAGACCTGGGGACACTGAGAGACATCAGGGACACTGGGAGACATGGGGACACTGGCTGGGAGACGTGGGGACACTGAGAGACTATGGGCCACTGGGAGACATGGAGCCGCTGTGTCCCTAGTGTCTCAGGGTCCCCATGTTCCCCAGTGTCCCTATGTCTCCCAGTGTCCCAATGTCTCAGTGTCCCCAAGTCTCTCATCGTCCCCATGTCTCGCAGGCTCGTAGCTGCTGTCTGGACTCTCTGTGCAGAGCTGCTCCCCCGCGGATCAGTGAGTAGAGAGAGGCAAATGCTGTAACTTCTTATCCCTGCCTCTCTCCACACAAACAGCGACCCCTACTGGCTGGCGCTGATATTGCAGAATAATCTCTGTTTATACTGAGATAGACATTTGTATTGCCGGTATTACTGCAATACCGGCACCGGCTAGCCAGCCTCAAATACCTGATAAATACTTCTGAGAAATACCTGGCAACCATAAGAAATACATGAGAAATACCTGGCAACCCTAATAGTAGTGTGTGTAATAAAAAAAAAATATATATATATTTTTTTTTTTTTAAATCAATGGGCCTGGGCCTGGGCCTGGGCCTGGAGCTGCAGCTCCATCAGCCCCTATGTTAATCCGGCCCTGGCTGTGCCGGTATCTTCCATAAACCACCTGTTTACACTATTTAGAAAAAGCAGCGGCTTTAGTACCAGTCCAGGCACCATAGCCACTACAAACAAGTATGCAGCTCAGTATTGGTTTCCTTTGCCCTATGTGTCATGTTTCCTACTGATGTCCCCCATCTCTATATCCGTGTATTTTATTCAGCTCCCATCTCTTATTTCCCAGTTTTCCCATTTATTTTTCCAATGATTTCGAGGTTTGAGTCCTTTTTGATCATACCTTAAAGTGTCTCTATTCCCATGTCTGATTTATGAACCTGATTCCTTGCCTGATATTGTATCCCAGTTTCAGGACCTTCTAAACAATCTGGATTTATGTACCTGTACAGTTTCCTGACTTCTGGAGGATGACGGTCGGTTTCCATATTTCCTGCCTATGGCTCTGCTGCAGTCTGGATCCTTTACCCGATAGCAGTATTCTCCCAGAGATTCTACCATTTGTAATAGGCTCAGTCCATGATGTTAACTCAGAATATGGATTACATTGATGTATTAGTACCACTAGTATCTGTACGCACTACAGTGAAGCTGAAATCATTGGAGGTGACAGTCGTCTGCGAGGTTTCTATTAAAGGGGAACATTCTCTGGAAATGACAGAATTCAACAAAAACACCTATATCTTGTGTTAACCTTTTTTATGTGTGATATCATTTTCTTTTTAATGTATATTATAGATCTAGCAATTGGCATTCATCTTGCTTTATGTCTGGAGTCTGTCATAATTGTGACAGTTTATAAAAGTGCAGATTTCAATAGAAATTTTAGAATTCAGGGCAGAAACACTTCCCTGCTTGTTAATCAGCTCCACGGAATTAACAGAAGTAGCAGGCACACTATGAAAATGTGTTCCCACGGCTGCAGAACTGAGGGCCCTCAATGAAACACCTCTGATTGGAGTATTACTCGGGGCCGGGGGGAAAAAACAGGGGCTTGCAATGGATGAACACAACATATCTGCAATTTTTGCAAGCTGTAATTCGATGTAGTACCCCCAATGAAAACATGCATAAATAAATTGATACATGAATTTAATCCAATGAATTGATAAAAAATTTTTTTTTTTCAATTTAGTGTTCATTTAAAGAGTTAACGCTGCAGAGAAAAATCTCAGTGAGTTTCTCACAGTCCCATCTTCCTGCATATGATGTAACAATGTAATTTCTGCTTTGTACACGCCGTGAGTATAAAGGGTGTTTCATGACCGTCTTGTGTTTTCCAGCTCCAGGATCTCAGGTGGGTTTAGAGCTGAACAGGGCATTGTATGTTTAATTTCTCCTGTGCCGCGATTCTGTATTCAGTTAGCACATCTCCTTAAAGACTAATGATGGTCTATGTTATCATAACAATCTGATTTGGTCGTTTTCCAAAGGGCAACATCTCATTTATTTAATATCCACTTG